ATAGATAGATAGATAGATAGATAGATAGATAGATAGATAGATAGATAGATAGATAGATAGATAGATAGATAGATAGATAGATAGATAGATTGTCCCTATCCCAAATTGTCCCTGATGCATATATCTGCCAGTGATTGTGTGCATATGAATTTTTAAACGGTCTGCATACAATGTTCCTATGATGATAATATGAATATGTGTAAGAACAGAAACTCTAGATAGGCACTCACCTGCATGTAGGCATGATTGGTTGGGTTTAAGTCTTCTCTCAGAGGACTAGGGCAGGAGCCTTCACAGCGGTAGGCATTGTATTTTTTAGGAAAGACAATCCAGGACCCCCAGCCAATCTGATTAAAGTCGACATGCAGGTCCACTTTGCGACAGAGCGATTTTTCACTCACTCTTTTGAACAGCTGTGGGGTTCTTGCTGTTTGCTCTCTCTGGCCCCGTTTGCTCCTTCGCCTCTTTTTGATTTCAGCAGGGGAGAAGAACTTGGATTGTTCAGCTGTATGGAGTAAGCTCGCTTTAGCCTTTGAGTTTTCATCAGACCCTGTGTGTGAGAAGACAACCAGCAAGGCCCGGTCACTCACATCCTGGTCTTTTGTCAAACTTGTTTCATAAACAGGCTCATCGGGAAGAGGCAGGCCTCGCTTTTTCTTTATCACTTTCCTTCTTCTTGACACTCGCTTGTGTCGAATTCTTGTTGTTGATTTCTCTTTAAGCCAGCTCAAGAGGGGATTTGTCATGTTGAATACTTTCCAGCTCTGCGATGATGTGACTAGTGACGATTCTGTGAGCAGTGCCAGCAGATGCTGATCCTGGTCATGGTGGTGATACACCTCCACACTAATGTTGGAAACATTCATTGTCCAAGGTAGCTTGATTCTCAACTCTGCTGCCTGGATTTGTTTGTCAGCTCCCAGCGCATGGAGGTCAAATGTCGCCACCCAGGATCTATGTCTGTACTTCAAATCTGATATAGCAAAAATGGAAGAATTAGCATAATTGAAGAGCACTTTGTATGACACAGATTATAATGACTGATTGTGTGTTACTAATGCATGTAAACCAACAAACAACCACCTGTGTGGGAAATTCATCCCCCCCCCCAAAAAAAATCACCATTATTATATTACCAAACATTAGATTGCTGTCTTTCCCTCCTCACCACATAGCTGCAACTTTGTGAGCCTGATTTTGCTGGAAGTCTATTCCTCTAAGCGTTTTTCCTCCCTTAAAATCTCCAAGTGCTTTTGAAAGGTGATCACCGGATTGTTGAAGGTTACTTTTCTGATAATGTAGGGTCTCGCCAAATTAAATAAACTTATGGAAGGTATGAGTGCAACATATATCTTAACTATGACATGACATTTTCAGTGTGCAGCCTGTAACAGCTTTATTAAAGAAGATGCAAATCAATAAGAAGGCCTACAGCTTCAACCTTATATGTTTTGCTTGTTTAGTGGATTTAATCAGCCAACAGGAATTATTTTAACCTAAAATGTTTTTTTTTTTAAGTTTATTTACCTCATAACAGAAGTCAGATAAAATCAAAAAATGAAACCTTTAATGAACATGCAGGCTCATCTTGTGAGAAAATAATAATATATGTCATCTAGAACTTCGTGATTAGGGGATTTCAGTAATCAAAGCTGCTTATGCTTTTCCCCAACATAACCCATTCATTATGCTACCCATGGACACCCTGCTCTGCGCCCACATCTGTAAAGAGACCCATTGTGATTCTAAACAGGTGTGGTTCCGATTAATCTAAGGGATGAACGGCTTTAAAACATTTAACTTTTGCATTGTCCGCTGCCTATTGAGTTCGACCCTTGATCAAAAGTGCAAACCACCCGCGCTATTAATCCACTCAAACCAAACACGTAGCCGAAACCAATCACTTAACACATCCCTGCTTCTCACGGCTTCTGCATATCCTCTGTCAAACAAACAGGTAGTAACTCTAACACTTTACCGAGATGTGAAATTAGATTCTGCAGCAGGGATTGGGGGGGGGGTGTCCTGTGCTGGCTGCTTGTGCCACCGTTAAATCCAGCGCTCTAATTTAATCAAACCAAGTGCGAAAAAGAACTGAAGGAGGTTGTTGATTTGACTAAGCAAGAGATTTGTATAGGGGGATGTCTGGCGAGGTATCTAATCAACATCACCTATTTAGCGAAGAAGAGGTTTGCTTTGAGAATTAGAGAGAATACCGGCCTTTTCACACGCTGATCCCTGCATGGTTATTCACCCCCTAAGCGGAATGTGGATTGAAAACCTCTCAGGTCGTCTGGCACGCAGTGTTGACAGAAAAACTAAACTCCTTAACATCTGAGAGGATTTATTAATGGTAGAGAAGACATCTGACCCGAACCAAAGCTATAAAACACGAATGTCAAACGATTCCCTGCACGTTTCTGACAAACAAACCAAATATTTTTTATGAAGCAATGAGCCAGATCTTACTTTTAGCCATCATACTCTTCACGGTGTCCGCTTGTCTTGCGGCATCTTGCTCCATCGTATCCATAAGACCGGAAAAATTCGACTTGAAATTCCTGTAAAGTTGCATCATGTAGCTCGGCAGGTGATATCCAGTTCCTCGGTCCATCACGGCAAAACGGTGCAGCGGCCTCATAAACACCCCATCGCTGGATTTATGAATCCCTTGAGCCAGCAGCGCCAGCAAAGATGCATGGAGCGCAACACCCAAAGCTCCCCATGAGCGCATGTTTTAGGTCGGTTAATGACAAATTCCTCCTCTGGAAGAGCAGGGGAGCCTTATATACTCTCACCCACCCCCTTTCACGTTTAACAAGTAGCTGAGAACATTAAAGGAAATTGACATGAGTCCTCAAGACTTGCTACCTGACAGCTCATCATCTATTCAATTGGTAATGAGGCGCCTGGGTTGGTGTTTACAAGACGCACAGGTTTTGTTTGCACCATGTTCTTTGGGCTTCTGCAGCCTAACCCCCCATTCTCAGACTAATTGTTTCATCTGTTTGGTTTGCACTAATTGTTAGGCTTTCCCATAGTCTAATTTAGTCTACTACGGGCCCCTTGAAATGCACATCAGGGACAATGAATGGGCTCTATTACCCATCAGGCATGTCTTCGTACAACAACAACAATGGCAACAGAACTATTAATGTTAAAACATCACTGCAACCAGTAATATAGGGAACGCACATGACATTTATACTACATTTATTATGCATTTGTTAATAACTTGGCCTAATTTAACTTCTAATTATACCTCGAATGGCCTTTTGTGACAAGAATATTACGATAAAAGATGGAGACGGATAAAACAGGCCTACCACAAACTGAGATAAAGTCGCTGGAAACTTAATATAGACCTCTGGGACACTATCAAGCAGCACAGATAGAATGAAGCAGGAAACACGTCTTATCTCGCTCATATTTAACTTTAAGATGTTTACTTTTAAAGCTATACTATTATATAAAGCTTTACATCTTCTTTATGGTCAGAAATCAATATTTATTGAACTCACTGGTGTTTTTCTGGTTAGAATTCCTTAAACAGCGTATTAATTTTATTTGTAATGTTTATATATAAGCTTTCATTTTATTAATAGTAGCTGTATACACCTATTATAAGAATGCTTAATTTCAAAGTGGCATAACAGCAATGAACCTTTTAAATCTTCGCAAAGTTTGCACGTCAAAAATCTTGGTTCCTGCATAGAGCATCTATGGATGGTTGTCGCAAACTGCGCATGCGCTATGCGTCTCCATTCACATAATGAAATCCTTTTCCTCGAGAATCTCCCGAGAAAGGATAAAAATTAATGGATATTTTTTATCCACCTGTATAGTTAAAAAGCGGTGCACTTTGTCGACAACGTCTACACCGGAATTACCGAGGTCCGAGGTCTGTTTTCCTAACTGGCCCGTCGCTTTTTCACCTACCGTGTGCTGAAATGGTGAGTAGCTTTAAAGTTTACGGGTCTTTTCTTGCACGAGTCATGGCAGCTAAAAAGAAAGTTGGCACTCGTGCCGTTTTTGGACCCCAGTATCCCTCTAGGTTACAATCTTCAGCAAATATGGATTTTGGACTTTTGCTTGGACTAGACTTCCGCAGTGAAGGATATTTTCATGATGTGCTTGTGTGGCTGATGGGGCATACATGTGCTTGGCACCCCCACCCCCCATCTCTCCATGCCTGCACTGCATTGTGCATTCAATCTGGTGTTTTGGGCGCTGACAGTGATAATTAATAATAATAATAATAAAAACAAGTTGTGCAAAGCACAATAGGCAGTTGGGGCTCATTACTATGGAAATGCATAAATGGATAACCGTTAACTTATGTTTTTATTTGCTTATAAAAAACAAACATTTTCTAGGATGTCCTGATGTGTTACAGTGCAACGATTACACGCGCATGAAAATTACATTACAGTACATGCATGCAAATGATAAAAGGTTTGAGAAAAACAATGTGTTATGCTCTGCGTAATGCGTTTGCATCACTTATGCAAAAACTGGATATGTACTAATAATAGGTGTGTTTTATATGTTAGCGCTCATAAGACAGGAAAATGAACCAAAACAAATACTTCTACATACAAATACCACTAACAGAAACCTAATCTAAAACCACGTCATGTGCATTTATAGCATATACCATATACAGTATATAATAGGCAAATAGTGACGTCATGCTGCATCTGCGTAAGATTTTACTAGGCCTGATATAAAGCACATGATGTTCTTTGATTTATTTTGTTTTGTGTCAAGGTCTTTGTTTACTTTGGTCCTTCTAGCTGGTTATCCTTCCAGGCTCTTCTGTTTATATCGCTTTACCTGATGTCATGGGGGGTGGGCGGTGGGAGTGGCGATGGGGTGCACTGAAACTGCCTCTGATTGACTCGATCAAACCACGAGTATGAGTTAATCAAGAGTGATAGAACGAAACTCCTGGATGATTGAGCAGCCAAATACTAAATGGTGCGCCTTTTAATCTCAGTTTATCTTGATAAGAGGGCTGGATGAGAAACTTAACTCCTACGTGTAATTTTAAAAGTTGTTTGTTTGGACATGCCCCACGAAAAGCCCCCACTTTGTTTCCAAAATGATTTATAGTAGATCTGTTCATAGGGATTGAGAAATGTAAAACAGGTGTTCAGTTAGGTTCAAGTTTCCTTAAGTCCCAGCGCTGCTTGTTTTGAAATTGATTTGGATGCATATTTGCAATCATTTATAAGAGTATTGTGCCAAGGTCAACTGAGTCAATACTGAGAGGGGCCAAATTCGGGATGGGGTGTTGCGGGTCCCAACTCTCTTTTCTTATTTTCTGAAGTTGCACAATAAAATAGCTGTGACTGTTCACCTTCCCCATGTTCATAACGAAACTATAAATAACAGCTGACTGCAATAAAACTGCTAGGACTTAATCAAATACTTATAATCTACCATATGCATCTTTAGTTATACAGCCCGTTACTATCTACATAAATTAAAAATGCAGTGCAGGTGAAATAGTCATAATATGCTTTTATGTGGAAAAGAAAGTACACTTTTTTCAGTTCTAAGGTCTTACTGATCCCTAAGACCTTAGAACTGAAAAAAGTGTACTTTTCAGTGAGGACATAATTAAACATGATCTGGTCCTTGCTAAGTCTTCAAATGAGGTAAATACATGCTCATATGAACAATACAAATTATGTATTACACTGTGTCAAACTAAGCAAAAATGCAGAAGCAGTGTGTAGGAAACTACCACACTAGCAAACTAGCACACCCCATGATTCTGTAGCTCTTGGGTTATTTTGTGATTTCTCTGAGCATTCCAGGGTCTGACCTTGGGGTGAATTTGTTGCAATGACCACTCCTGGGATAATTGGCACACCAGCTTGTTTTCTACATTTTCATAATCTTTATAAATTACATAACCCTCCTTCCTCTTTTGCATTGTGTTAACAAACAGCTGAACACCAGCAGACTGCCAAAAGTGCTTTTAGAGAGAAGGTTGCTAATTATCACTTATTTTTTTATTACAAGCACTTGGCTGCTCCTAATCATCTTAATTCCATTGGAAGCAGTAAGGCTGTACTGCTTCCAATGTCTTGTTGTTCCTTTAATTGTATTTACATAATTTTAAGACCTGCTAAGAAACATTTAAAAATGTTTTTGATCTTCTTACATTCTAAGAAAAATTTGATGTAAAAAAAAAATTGATAATATCAAAATATTTGAAGGCATGCCTTTCAGTAAATATAATTTTGGTCATATCCAAAGTTACCCAGAGGACATTTGGTGTAAATTAATTAATTTCCCAGTGGGCACTGTTTTCTGATTGTGATTAAATAGTTGTCTGAATGAAAAGAAGTGTTTTGGAAATTAGATAATTATCTAAATGCAGTTGTTAATTCTTACCACAAGGTGTCATATTTGATCAATGGACTCAAGAGAATATTGCACTGGACGTCCACCCAGAACATGCCAACGTGTATTTGTAATTAGTTATCATTTCATCTTCCCAAGAGCTTTGAGCTGCTGATTTATTTTTAACTTGACAGTGATTGATTAGGGAAACATTTTGATTTGGGAACAGTGTCCCTGTGCTGTGAGAAAGATGAAAAGACTATCTGAAAGCATTAATTTCATTTCTAATGTGTTTGGAAGCTTAGAACTTGTCTCAGGTGAAATACTTCCCCCTTCCTTACAATTGCTCTTACAAGGCTCTTAGCAAACTGGCTTTCTGGAGATAAGACAGACACCAGGCCTGAGAAAAGATTTGAACAAGAGAGGTGATAAAAGCCGTACAGTCCTTTTCCAATGGGGACATTAAGCAGAGAGGATATTTTTTCAGTCTGCCATTGAATATCCTCTTATTCTAAATTATGCTTTTTTTCTGATTTAAAAAAAAAGGGAAGGTGCATGAGCCTGTGCCTAGGTGGGTCACTCATTAGCTTTATGACAGTTTATTACAAAATCTCCCCCCCGAAAAACAAATGAATATTTGTTACTTCTCACTTCCTGGGTGGATTCATTCATGTTTTGAGGTTTGCGGGCCATGGGAGGGTTTGGTTTCACATTCACTGTGTTGCAAGAACATCAGAATCTTTGGCCTGCGCGGCTGCAGGAAGGAAGGAACAGGTGTGGCAGCAGTAGATTTTACATCCATATCTCGAAAAAACCACTTACCACTTTTGCAAATCAGCTTGATGTGGACATTATCTTGTGACAGATTTGTGATCGCACATACTTTTGTAAGAAAACATTCTCACATGCAGTTCACTCAGACGATAAGCCCGATGTTGTTGGCCGTTTTGTTTAATAATTTGGAGTCCTAAGTGTAAATCTTACCCAAATGGGTACGTTTGGCAGAATTTCGATACAGGTATTTTGCAAGCAGATGCTGTTGGCTGTGTTCGTGCCTTATTCAAACCTTAGGATGCTTGCTGTTTGAACTGACATACCCTCAGTGTTATGACTACAAAGGGTACAGCACGCAAGCATTTACAGCTAAAACTCAAGCTTAAATCTAAGTATTTGCCCAGCTGTAAGCTTGTTTACTTTCGGCATGACATGTGTTAACTGCTAATGAATGGAGTAATTAGCGCATTGCAGTGAATTAGGCTTATGTTGTCGGTGTTGCAAGTGTACCTTACATTCTACAGTGAGGGTTTACTGCTGCATCTGCTCGTAATTTGTGTAAGAAGTGATGGTTTAGTTTGATACAGTTGCCGAAAGGTCTGTGCGTTCAGAAGGTATTGTGCCGGCAGGAGGCTCCGGTTTATGATTGGATGGCGAAGTGGATGGTGAGTAAGCCTCTGGGTCCGCCTCCACATCCTCTTCACCCCCCCCCCAAACACACACACACACACACATGCGCAATCAGTTTCATACACACACAAATCCCAGCAACCTTGCACCTCATGTGCAGGGGATGCATACAAAAAAGTGACAAACAAACCAACAGTGGACCGGCCCCCCCCCACCCCCCCCCCCCCCCACCCCACCTCCCTGCACACTCACGTCTTTTCCTACTCAGTGGCTGTCTGGGATCTGTCCTTACTGAAGGACATGTTCATTGACTTGCTTTATAAGGACATGTTAATGATGCAAGACTGCCGCCTGCTGTAGTTTGATCAGGAGGCAGAGACACATTGCCTCACAGAACAGACAGAGATGCCAGTGGGGATGTCTGAGTGAGACTGCTTGCCTGCCGGAGAGCTGTCATTTTGGTTCTTTTTAACCCATTATTTTCTGTTCTGTGATTGTGTTTCTCTGAGACTCGCGCACCTCTCGGACGGTGGAATGAGCAGCTGAATGTCAGGTACAGTTGTCATACTTTGCATTTTCTTTGTTGTGACACTTGACTCCTTTTGCTGGTTTGTGGTCGCAAAACGTGTCATCAGTATGTTTTCAAGAGGTACAAAAGAAATGGCATGCGCTGTTCTTTAGATGCACGCTGTGATTTTACATGAGACTTAAGAGATGTAAAATATCTTTTTAATCTGTTTACCACATTCTTTGATAATGCCAGTCATGGCTGATATTCACATAGCTACATGGACTGCATTCTTAATGGCATGTGACGCCTAAGCTCTCCTCTTAAGTGTTTATCCACTCTCATTCTTCTGCCGGAGTGACCAGCACCTGTTTAAAATGATTCAGACACCCTTGACCATCTTACAAAATGCTGCTCAGTCAAGATCTGTTTGCACTTACACAAGTTTATCACTTCAGCTCGAGTTGCAAGCAAAATGTAACATGTTAACAACTCGGTGTAAAATCTATCTGCTGTCACTTGAACCGGCAGATCTGCCAGAATATTGTGGCCAGACACTGAGGTTTACAAAAAGTGAAAACCACACCACTGCAGGCTTGAAATAAGAAGATATTATTGGCATCTTGAGATGAAATAAATTACAGACAGGGTTTTTAAAAATAGATTTGTAAACCCTTTTTAGCTGGAGCTCACTGTCAAGCTGTGATGAAAGCAAGAATGCACAAGGCTAAAGGTTACTCGTGATTTATGTTGTCTCACTGCAGTAGCAGAAGCAGAGTTTGTTTGTGTCTCAGTGGATTTTCAGCTCTTACTAGTGCTACATGCCATTTCCTTTAGATGTCGTCCAGTCAGTGCGTGCACCTCGGCTGTCACTCTGGATGCTAACTCTTGCAGTGGAAATGCTATTTCACACATTTGATCAGATTTGAAAATAGCATCCTCTCACCATGCATCAGCACGCAGCTTCTTTTTACCACAGTGTGCTCTTTCTGAGCACATCGCCGGGCTATTTCTTTTGTACAATGATTAGCAAAAGTCACAAGTTGACACAAATTCACAATGAGGTTTTTGGAACAGTTGAAGGAAAACACAAAAAAGATTTTTTGCAGAGGAAGCACTGAGCTCATTTCCGTGCAGAACTGACATTTTAGGGCAGGAACTAGCAATGTCCTGTGGAATCACGCCTGCAACCCTTAACCTCGTTGGTGAAATATGCGTACAGCTGCAGGGAGGAAGTTTCAGAGAGTACATGTAAGCGTTTCCTGTCAAGGTGTGCTTATGCTTCCTTAGCTTGTGTGGGGGTGTGACTGAGTTTGGTCGAAGGGTTTTCTCGGTCTAGCCTGTGATGAGAGAGAGTGGGACAATGTGTCATTGTTATTATTAAATAAAATTAGCATTCAGATGTCATACTTTAAGTTAGTGCACAGAAGATCAGATGGTTGATGGGGATATTGTGTGGCTATTTCCAGACACGACATGACTGCATTGCACTAAATCAGCTTATTTTTGTGTACCCAGCATGCTTTTAGCCTAAACATTTTCAGACTGAACGAGTGGCCTCCATGGAGACCAGAAAATACACAGGATCCCTGATTATGAATTAGGTGATGCCAATTTGTATTGAATTTAGAATTTTAATGTGGCTTTTGTTGACATGCTGGCGGCTCTCCTCTCAACCTCAATGTGGGAAGTTGTGTTGAAAGATCTCCTGCGCACTACAAAGTGATACCCATCTCTCTTAAACCCCTGCATCTCGTATGAATAAAGGGTGCTCTGCATCCTTCCTCGGGGCCACCAACAGATGCATCCTGCAGCTGCAAGCTCCTTCCTGTCTGCGCTCAGACCCTTTTGTCTGAAGACATTGCTACAGCAAAGTTGGGACACCGGCTGAATTTAAATGGGGCTGTCCTGAATGGAGCAGTACTGATAGGCTGGCAGTAGCTTCTGGTTTCCATGGTCATAAGCCCACTATGCTGTCTTTGAATTTAAATATTAGTGCCGCTGGTTAACTTTCACCAGCTGATCACAGCTTTGTTGGCAGATTCCTACACAAACACAGAAAGCTGAATTCAAGATTATTGTTTTTGTTTGTGTGTGCATTTACTTATTTCATTGAATTCCACTTATCTTTCATCGGACCCGCACACAGTGCAGCATCAGTGCAGTGCTTCAGTGTGTGTGCAGTACTACTCTGGTTGATGTGTGGGATAAACAGCCTCTCTAATGAGTTGCCTTGATTGGCTTGCCAGTAGGATGTTTATGACTGAGGGCTATTTCTACACAGGCCTCCACCCCGGCTGCCCGCCTGGGGGCGGAGACCAGGTCTGCCCATGCTGAAATTAGTGCAGTTGAAGAGCTGCTATTGCGTCTAGCAAGAACGTCTGTATCAAAGTGCGTGCACCGTGGTCTTGCAGCAGTGGTGACAGGCTGCAAAGTAAGAGAGCAGAGCCTACAGTGTGACCATTTCCTTGCTGAAAAGTCAAAGCAACGTATCACGTATCCTCAATTATCAGATGTTTCGCAAACAACCACATCACATATGCGATAAGATTTAGGAAGTTCTAGTGCGTGGCTGAATATAATGTGAGAATCAGTTTTCAGTGTTTTATGGCCTTCCACTAAACCACAGAGCCATACATAACTGTGGTGGTGGGTAAAAGAAACCTACTGATTAAATGCCCTTAAAGGGACAGAGATCGAAATTAGTCTGTTTCTACCCGTTACTTTAAGAGAAGAACAAAGCAAAACTCGTTAAGGTGAAGGGTTTGCCTTAAAAGTGTTAAAAAGACCTCTCTTAATGACACCTTTGCTTGTTCACACTAATCTGCAGCAGGCCTGCAAAATGTGCTTCATTTTTCATCGTGTGTCGTTATTTTGGAATCAGATCCATGTGATGTCCAAACCATCAGCATTCGGAGTGCTGGCTATGTCTTTCTACTACTGTCAATTTGGCTCTTTTACTATCTCTCCCAATGGCTTAAATGCGCAGCAACAAAGCCACCCCCCTTTCCGTCTTCGTAGCTTGTATACAGAATAGTGGGGTGGCATGATGCCACAGTATTCCTAGCTTGAATGCTCTGTAAAAAAATGGGCATATCTTACATGGATAATCCAAAACTGGCAACACTTTTATATCTGCTACATCTTGTGGTATACTTGGGCGTACAATGTTTACCACAGCTTGTTTCTGTATCATTTATGTAGCCTACACGTCGAATTTGCAAGTATAGATTGGTTCATGCCACCCTTATTCATTAAAAATAAAAGTTTCAAAGGAAAGAGAAGAAATATTGCAATTTCCTGCTAACATAAGCAAAAATTATGAGATAAAAGCAGAAGTTAAAAAGCTTTGAAAAAAAATGAAAATATTTCTGTGGATCCGCTTCTGTCAAGTGAATAATAAAGTTATCATTTCATGTGTTGTCCGTTGGAAAGAGTCAGCTGTGTGTTATCTTTGTGCATAGCCTGCCCATGTGAAAGAAAGCTAAGCGTTAGCCATCTGGCTGCCAGATGTATTGCTACTTCCCCTGGTCTCCTCCGTTGAGACTCCAGTCTCCTGCATGAATCTATTCCCCAACATCAGTCAGGAGACGGAGCAAAGACGAGGAGTACGTTGTCTGAAAAGTATAACTTCTGAAGTTTTGCCTGAATGCCAAGCAGCCTGGCACTTTGAACTCCCACAAGGGGTGTTTCCCTCCGACTGGGGGTGGGTGAGTGGATTCAAAGAAGGAAGATTTCTTTTTTTGGATGTGATGCCAAGTTCTCACACTCCTTTGGACCATGGCAGAAAGAAAGCAGCAAAGAAAGGGCTCTGGAAGCACAGATTGCACTTCATCTCATGCGTAAGATATTATATTTTACTGAATTGTTACGCCAAGGAGTGTTTTTTGTTACGTTTCCTGCGGTGGCCACAAAATTATGCTAACAGAGAACCTTTTGGTATGTGACGGGGACTTAAATAGATTTGTGAAGCTGCTGGAGCACAGCATTGAAAACTTGGCTTCCTCCTATTGAACTCGGGCAGGGCTTCTGACTCTTTTGCCTTCAGTCTTTTCCCGCAGCTGTTATTTGATAGAAGCATAATTACTGAAATCCTATGATTATTTGAACTCTTTGAACTACAAACCATTTATACTGTACATTAAAAAAAATCCAAACCAGGAAACACGTTATGCTTGTGAGAAGAATCTTTCTGCTGAATCAAAAAGTCTCCGAGTACAAGGCTTGACCTACCTTCTTACCTTCAGAAGCAACAAAGAAGACAGTAGCTGTGACTCATGCGGCACTTCTCTCACCCACAGCCTCTCTGCACCTTGAGAGCCCACTCTATTCAAAACTGATGATCACACAGAGGTGCTTTGAGCTCAGCTAGAAGGCTAAGCTTCCATACGGCTGAACTGTGTGACATTCGGTAGATTTTGTGTTTGTTGGATTCATTCTCTCTGATTGTGTTTGGGGACTCAATGTATTATTCTGTTCATTTAAGTTAGGGGTAATAGGTTCCCAGCCAGCTGTGTCTTACAAGCGATGTTAATGAGCACTGATGGTGTGGCCTGCTAGGCTGTCAGAAGTTTTGTTTGTTTATCCGTAGAGCTCCCTGGAAAGCTTGGTTTTTATTCAGAGGAGAAAAGGTTTTGTTGAAACCTGGCTGGCTCTCATTGGAGACTCTGAACCCCTACCACTATGACCACGATGAAACTGTAGAGAAATGAAATTAATGGTTAAGCCTAAAAAGGCGGATTTTATGAGTTATTGGCTGAGCCTTGCTCTATGCATCGGAAAACTACCACTGATAATATTTTTCATAATACATGATAGCTCAGCTTATTTGATCACATATCCTGAATACAATTATACTGCGGTTTTTATGTGATAAAACAATTTTTTGGCTAAAATAAAAGCAGATTTTTTCTATATCCAGCTTCGAATGCTTGCCGTGTAAGAATTGCAAAACTGCAGTGATAATCAGAAAAAATATAGTTCAACATGTAGATTCTTTCAATCTGATTATATGTTAAGAGCAGTGCCATCCAAACATACTGATTACCATGGCTCTGGTTAACCATGTTAAAAACCTTCCAAACAGACCCTTTGAGATCATAATAGCCTTTAACTGTGTTTCCACTTCTTCTATATTCTACAGATATGAGAATGGTACCGGTCTTCTTATTTAGCACTCACAAAGATAGCGAATCCTCTGGCGACCATGAATGTCAGTACCTAATTTCCTGAAACCCTAAATAACCTCATGGCAGCACTGTATCAAAACACAAGAGAGATACAGAGAAGGCCTTTGGGGGCCAATATAACAGACCACCGTCAGTTTTAAGAATTTTTAGCCTTGTTGTTTATTGTTTATTGTTTATTAATTCAGATACATTTGAAAAATCTAATAAAGTGCATGGTTTTGAGCAAATCCAGTCCTCTTTTGCCCTGTACACATATGGCCTACCTGCAAGCAAGCAAGCAAAGCCTGCTCAAGTGTAACTCGTCACACTTTTGAAATGTATGTATTTCTTTATTATTACAGGAACTTCGCTGTCTGTGTGTCACATTTAATGAGCTCACTGGTGGGCAATCCTCAGCCGTGATGCTAGCGTAGAAAAAAATGTTTCATGATGTGAAAAATAAAAAAAATCTGCATAGTAATTCAAAATTCTATTTATGTAGCACACGCTGGTGAGTAACACTTTTTTCTAACCCATTCCTAGTCTTAGTGTGAGACTAGTACTGAATAACTTTTCACACCTTAAGTATGTTTGTAAATGATGTCACTCTCCAAATACACACTATTGTATGTTCCGCCGCTGTGTGCGTGCGTTCGTGTGTGATTGCTTCCTGTTTCTAAGTCCACTGCGATGCCATTTACAGCAGCTTGTGGAGCATGGGTACAACTGCCAGTGCCGCACCACAGCCCGTTTCTGTTGCGTCGCCGCTTGAGAGTGTCCATGGCAACGCGATGGCTGACAGCAAGCAGTCTCTTTGCATGAGCCCCTTCCAGACAGTCAACATCCACAACAACAAGGCCAAGTCCATCATCACCAACAAAGTTGCACCTGTCGTCATCACGTAAGTCCCTCCCCGAATCTACGTCCTCACAGTCGGGTGTGAAACCTTTTTGATCGCTGAGGTGACACCCCCCTCACCCTCCAGCCACGGTGTTTGCCCCCGTTATCATCTCTTTTGTCAACCCAGACCAAGCAAATAGCAGCTGATAATTAAATTGGCCTCTCTGCACCATCCACACCTTGTTTTGTGTTTTGCATTGCAGATATAATTGCAGACAGGAATTTCAGATTCACGACGACATCCTCAAGACCAACTACAAAGTCGGTCGGATATCAGACACTCTGCCCGAGCACTACCTCGTGCAGGTAAGGGTGCCGTGCTCTTCTTGTAGCTGCGACAAAGAACAACACTGTCACAGCAAGCTGTGGAGTCATCTCACCATTCTTTCTTTTTCACATTTACATGTCCAAATTGCAGAGTGGTGTAGGAACATTGTCATGCGCTTTTTTATGATCAGAGGCAGCCATTAAAACGGGAATGTTGTCACCCTCCTCTCAAGGCTTTGATCTGCTCTGTCAACTGTGCTGTGGTAGTTCAAGCATGCAGTGTTTTGTCAGTGTTAACTCACAGCTCCTTTTATATGTGTAGAGAGGTCAGGAGTTTAGTCTTGAGAAAATCTCCTTAAAAAGTGACTTCCTTTCTTTCTACCAGTAATGTTTGTCTGAAATGTTATGAACGCCTAATACCTGATTAAAACTTGATTTCTGGGGCTGATGCTGACATTGAAAGTAGTAAAACTACTAATCAATCTTCTTTATATATTTATATACTTGTATATTGTGCACATAGTAAGTTAGAGCTCTTTTTAAAACAGTAGATTTGATATTATTCCTCTGTTAACTCATATTGATATAACAAATTGAAATACCAACTAGAAATGGGAAAGACACGTAAATATGTATATAATGTAAATATAAGAAGAATCTGGAAAGTCCAATGGTCATGAGGGTGTCTGTATTTGTTGTTTCAGTGCGTTAAGCTCTCTGGATCAGTGTAGGGAACAGGTCTACTAAAGATCTGGGCGGGAGGGCATAGATTGAACTTTCTGAGACGACACAGTAACCGCACGTTATCTTTTTGGTGTTGTTTGCAAACACAGAGGACAAAAATCTAGCTTAATCTTGCAGCGATGACACAAAGCACTTCCACATGTAAACACCGTGTCAACCACTGTAATGTTTACTTTGCTACTCTCCCAATGAAGGCTGTGCTGGAAGTTGGAACAGTTTGGCTCAGTTCAGATTTATATGTGCTCTCCTTTCCAGGGGGAGTACTTCATGGTCCAGGATGTCTACAGCAAAGCTGATGTCCTAAACACCACGGGCAGTTATGGGGCGCCCAACTTCCGCCAAGTGAAAGGATCCTACCCCCTGTATGGCATGGGTCAGCCCAGCTTGACTGGGTTCAAGCAGGTTCTCCAGAGACTCCAGGCGCAAGGACAAGAGGTCACTGCTATAACTTGTGCACAATTTCACTGTGCTCCTCTTAAGCCTTCGATAGGTTTCTCTGTAGATCCTATTTTCCTGTGCTGGTGCCAGTTTAGCTCTGCCTGGCCTCTTTCGCTCCGTGTTGTCAGTAAATATTTGAGGAGTCAAGTGCTCAGTGGAGGCTGTGGCTGGATTGCAGAACTGAGCAAACAGAAAGTTGTGGTCATGTGCGCCAGTGGAAAATGAATCTTTCTACTTAGAGCAGCTAGAAACCGGCCGCAATTAAAATGAAATTGACAAAATTATACATCGGGTTTTTAAAACTCTGTATTCATGTGCTCAGTGTCATATGACGAGAAATTGTTTCCAGCTATTTTTAAAAGTAGTGTCGTTTTAAGGAGGCCTGTTTTCCCATATTCCTTCCTACAGGAGGTTATATTCGTCTGTGTAAGAGAGGAGCCCGTTGTTTTCCTGCACAAGGACAATGACTTTGTGCCATATACCCCGAGGAGGAAGGAAAATCTACATGAGAACCTTCATGACCTGGAAAAAGAGGAGAGGGTGGAAAGCCTGGAGCTCACCATCAGAAAGGAGGTGAGAGACAAACTCATGCGTAATCCCTGATTTTTTTTTGTCATTTGCAACAGTACTAAAACTCTCCTTTCATCCACGCTCCACAGCTCCATGACTTCGCCAAGCTCAACGAAAACGTCTTCTACGTCTACAATGACATCGAGTTCTTTAAAGACGAGCCGCAGAAGATATCTATCACGTGCGAGGAGGACATCCATGTGACCGAAGAGGTCTACAAGAGGCCGATGTTCACTATGCCGGCCTACAGGTTGTTTACATTGTTCCTTTATTATGCCTGAGCTCCTCAAGTCACACGCACAAGTTTACACGAAGCAGCGTGTGGCTGCCTGCTGCTGAACATGCAGGGAAGGTTATAAATAGTGGTGCTTGTTTGTGCAAAGACTGGTTGCCCTGCGTTTTTTTGGAAACGAGAAGAAACGGGGGCGTAAAAACTACAGATTGAAACATCCTGTTTGCAATCAGATCTGCGGTGTCGGCTTTGCTGAGATGTTGTGAGCCGCTCGCTGCGTATCCAGGCCAAGAGAATGTATTACTTCCATAGGAGAGCCCTAAAGCATTTACTCTTAATCTTTATGTTTCGTAAACGATAGGATGTTTTATTATAAATAGATTCAAAGTGCAGGTGTTTGGGCTCATCCTGTGATTCAATCTCTCCCATCATCCTTTGCAGTTTGCCGGAAAAGGCATAGTTTCTATCTGATGAGATTAGGAAACACAACATTAGGGAGCTCGGCTGTAAAGTCTTAAGGTTATATGTTTATGTGCTCTGACCTACATAAGGGCAGTATTGACACAACATACACAGGGACAGGTTCAACTCTGGGTGACAGTGTGTTGTTTTGCAGGTACTACAGACTGCCACTGCCCACAGAAGGAGCACCATTGGAAGAAGACTTTGATGCATTTGTTAACATACTCAGGGTAAGCAGATGTAAAAATGCCAATCACACTACAAACCCAGCTGTTACATAGTCCTTTTTTGGGCTTGTTTTTTATATTTGGATCTTGTTCTGATGCGCCATTAAAGTTATTCATGGCCAGAGCTTTGGAGAGCGCCTGGAGTTTTTCACTGAGGTAGTGAGAAAGTAACGCTAGCTTTTTTAATCCACATGTATGCCATTATCTGTCCTGTATGTGTAATCAATTATTGATAAGTCCCCCAAAAGAAGGCAGTAAGGACTCACTTCATGTCCATTCTTTGGTCATCCACTTTGTCTGGTTTCCGTCCTTCCCTTCACTCATACAGGATGTTCTTTTATTCTTGTTGTGACCTTTTTTGGAGTGGCTTGCAGCAGCCGTTCCCATTCCCTGTGGTTTGAAAGCGGATTCATTTTCTCTGTTTGGATCAGAGCTTTGTTTTAGTAAATCTTAGTCACTCACAGTCAGTCACTTGGTAGTAAGAGCAGATCTGTTGCACAACTTGGCATTTGGGACTTCTGACATTGTCTTCAATTCATGTGTGAAAATAGCTTAACTCTCATCTATGTGCATCGTTTTCCAGGAGAGCCCAAGCTTGTCTCTGGGCCCTGGTGCATCCCAGAAGCTGCCTGCTCTGCTGTTCAGTTGCCAGGTGGGCGTTGGACGCACCAACCTAGCCATGATCCTGGGCACGCTTGTCATGAATCGCCTCAGGGGTGATTCACAGCCTCCACCCCAGTAAGAAGTCTAGATCAAATAGAAAATCAATGACAAGTATTTATTAATTAATTTTTTTTTTTATAAAGGCAAAATATTTGTTTTGTTTTGTCAGAGTTGAGGAGCCAGCTGCTTCAGAACCCAGACCACTGTTCCAGGTGATCCAGTCTCTGATCAACAAGCTGCCTAATGGACAGCAGGTCATGGAAGAGGTAAAGCTGATAATGTCTGTCTACATAACAATGATTTGAAAGACAAAAAAATTATAATAAATTACACGTAGGTCCCAAATAAAGATTTTATGCAAAAACGAGAGGTACAAAGTATTTTATTACCCAAACAGGTATTTAAAAACAAATTGTTCATATATGTGATTTATTGTCTTTTCCTTCTTCACAGGTCGACCAGGCGATTGCCCTGTGTTCAGAAATGCACAACATAAAAGAAGCAATATATGAGAACAAGAGTAAGCTGGAGGGAATTGGTGAAGATTATCAAATTCAGGTTAGTAATGATATAAATTTTTGACGTTTGTAACTTGGAACTTCTCTTTAAAAGCAGCAGCTTGTACTATAAATGGCTCATAAACTGCTCAGTTTATGTCCTGCTTAATAGAAGACATGTGAGAGCACAATCAGCCTTGATAAACGTCTTTTATCAGTGAGAGCTCTCGAGCTGATAGAGGACTTGAGAAGTTGATATCATTAATTGATCTTTTTCCTGTCTTTCAAGAAATAAGCTTAATTATTAAAGTAGGTTTGGTTAAAGTGCTTTACTAGAAAAATTATAAAAACCTTGCAGAAGCTGCTACTGTGACCAGATAATCAAGCTTTTATTCCTCTCTTAGGGAAGCAGTACCAAAGACTACTTTCTCAACAGAACAATGCAGAGCTTGGAGCGATACTTCTACTTGATTGCATTCAATGCATACCTTCATGAGCAGGTAAAAAGTTTTTTCAGCATACATGTCTTCTCTGGGACCATGAAAAAGAAATTGTAAGTCGTAACTATGTGTTGTTTTTTGCAGTATCCTCTTGCCTTTGTGTCGAACTTCAGCCAGTGGATGTGCTGCCATGCTTGGCTGTACAGGTTACTGGCCTGCATGGATCTATCAGAGCTGTCCGCTCCGGCAGAGCTGGTCACTAAAGGAGCCCGAGTGCTGGTGGGAAAATCAGATTATTATATTTAACAATATCATTGTTGTTAACATTGTTGATGATGTGGAAGGATGTGCTCTTTGCTCGCATTTCATTCAGAGCCTGATTTATAGGCTATTTTTCATTGCAGATCTTTTTGTTCGTGTTCTGTAAACTTTTAACTTGAAAATGTCAAGCTGTGTCCGTTCTTTCAGTTATTGTGATTTTATAACAATGCAAATAGGTAAATGGTCATTTGTAGCACATTGGTAAATGATTAAACCTCATAAAAACACCACTAGGTTTCACAGAACACATTTACAAGAATCAGTCACAATCCATACAACATTTAGCCACAGGCTGAAGACAGAAAAGTCACCAGTGCCACTAAGGCGACACACTAACTGACCAGGTCGCTAGGTTTGTGTGGCTGCGCTGAGCAGATGAGGATTTGGGGCAATAGTGCGTCATTTAATTCCTGTTTTTGCATCAGAAGCTGTTAAATAAAACGCATATTTCAGATATAGTTTTGAGACATGTTGGCAGACTGAGCTTAAAAGAAACTGATAAAATAAGAAATAATAGAAATATTATATTGCAAAGTCTGCTTGTTTTGAGTTGCATCATTGCTTGGATATTTTTGTGTGAAGCTGAAAGTCTCAGTCTATGTCCTTGGCTAGCTTTTTCTTTGTAAACATATTCCTGAACAAGTTCCCTAAATCTGTTATGATCTAATCATCATCTCCCTACATTTACCCCTTTAAACTAAATACATTTCCACATAGAAGCCACCATGCTAGCTGCTGGTATGAAAACACATTTCATGCATTCATCCAAGATCCCTCATTTGTATTTGTGATTATCTGTCTTTAAAAGCACCGTATATTACATGCTGTGAATGACTGTGTGTGTGCAGGTTGCTGATGAGTACTTGGCTCCTGACGTGCTCAGCACAGTAAAAGAGATGAAGGCGGTTAACTTCAGACGAGTGCCCAAGATGCCTGTTTATGGAGTGGCTCAGCCAACATCTGAGGTGCAGCAGATTATGTCCTACTTTAATCAAAATGAATGCAAGAAAAATGGGAGATTTTTTTAATTTGATCCAGAAAGAAAGAAATGTTTTTGTAATCTTTGCTATAATTACTAAAAGACACACTTTGATATTTTAGTTGTCTTAAAATAAAATCATTTAAACATTCAGCCGACAGTTTTGTAATAGTTATCATCAGTATGCATTTATGCAGTCGGATTTATTCATAAGTACAAACAGACTCAGCAGAATGAGTCATGATTACTTCCCACTCGCCCACCTCAAGACGCTCACACTGGACTTCCAGCTTCTTGCCCTAATCGTCTTAACTTGCTGCGTGCAGGCTACTGGAGCTGTTTTGGCCCATCTGACGGATGAAAAGAGGAAGCACACCCACGTGCTGTGGGTCAACCTACAGGAAGAGCTGGTGTTAGAAGGAAATGGCCAGATTTTTGCTGTGAGGGAACCCACGTGTCTGGACCAACACATCTCCATCCCCTCATCTGACCCAGAGCTGCTAGAGGTACAGAGAAAATTATTATTTTTTCTGTCTTTTTAAATGTTTTTCATGGCTTTTATATTAGGTTGAATAAATAAAGAATGTCCCAAGGATTTTAGTCTGTTCTTCAAAACAAGTGAAAACATTTCTGTATCCTCCTCCTTTAGAAACTGGAAACATCCCTAAAGGAGGAGATTCTGCAAGCGCAGAAGTGGCTGGAGGTGATCCTTGAGCAGGAGAAACAGATGAAGATGTTTAAAACCTGCCTGACTGTTCAGGAGATCTTCAACCAGCACAAAAGCTCTCACCAGGGCCTTGTCTGCAAACGCATCCCTCTGCCAGACTGCAGCGCACCCAGAGAGGAGGTAATGATGTGTCAGCCTGTGCGTGTAAACACGTGTGTGTACAAACACACGCGTCCTTTCAAACATGCAGTCTCAAGAGGCAGAAACCGCTTCTGGTTCATTTGATAGGTGTTTGGATTAAAGACAGCTGAGAATGATTAAGACTTTTGCTCCCTCTAGTGGTTAATAATCATAGAACCAGATTTCAATTTGTCAAAACTGTTTATGTGTTATATTTAATATTTTTTTCATTTTTTTCATGTGATATCAATACAAATCTGCATAAATAAAGACATATTGTGGTAATATTTGTATGTTTAACCATCTGCAGGACTTTGATAAGCTACTGGAGGGCATGAAGAGCTCCTTGGCCGAGGATTCCCACTCAGCGTTTGTTTTTAACTGCTCCAATGGCAAAGGCAGGACCACAACCGCTATGGTCGTCGCCGTTCTGACTCTCTGGCACTTTAATGTGAGCTGAATATTTGAGTTGTCTGCATGTTTACTGAGAGCCACTCTGTATAAAACCACTTCAACTAATAAAAACTTGGCTTCCATTTGCAGGGTTTTCCTGAGTTTGCTGAAGATGAGATTGTGAGTGTTCCTGATGCTAAGTACACAAAAGGAGAATTTGAGGTATGTGCACTTTAAAAAACAGTATCTTCACCAGCTTGTAAACGCATAAAAACATCTTGAAGTTTCAATTTCTTTGCATAATGAACATAAGTTTACATAAACTAAAACAGAGAATTTGAGATTAGTCAGCAGCCCTTTGAATTACCTGTATTACAACAATATATCTGTTTGGAAATTAACTAATTTATTCACTCAAAACTGAGTGTGATGAGGTGTTTGAGCTGGTATGCTGAGGCCAGTTAAAAAATACTCTACGAGTCCTGTGGTTTATTTAAATGTGACTTTGCAAACTTCAGAAGAAGATATTTTCTCCTGGAAACTCTTCCAAACTAGTCATACTCATTTCGAGTCATTTTCCAATTGTGTTGTCATGAACTGTTTTTTTTAACATTTAATATGTTAACTGTTATGAGCAGTCTCCGAGTGGTCTGACCTTGGGGTGAATTTGCTAAGATCTACTCTTACCTGATACGTGTTCTGCTGTTGTGCTGAATTTACAAGATAATCTAATCTTGATGGTCAAATGCAACACTTGAATACTTGTTTAAACACAGGTTAATGAAGCTAGAACACCTGTAGGTGAGATGTTTTTGGTTGTGCATGCTACTAATGGAATCAAAATACACTGGGAAATAACAGCTATCTATCCGGGTTTTAAGTGATGACGTATGAACCCTGCGTCCGGGTCCAAACTACTCTGTGTTTATTACAGCTCTGGTTTTTAACATGTTGTAATGCTTTGTATCTGGTTCTGAACAAGTCCCTAAAAAAAGTCATGACTGTCGGCCTCTCTCAGTTTTAAAACCCTACGATGTACCATAACTACAGCTCACCCATGCATTGGTATATTAATGACTAACCATGTATCGTGGATGGATTATCTCAGTTGTTCTCCTGACTGAAGTTTGGTCCGTTTACAGCATCCTGCCATGCGATTGCATTTGTCCTTAACCATCAGGAAGCCTCACGCTAACTTTTATCGAGTGAAAAAAGTTAGCTTTTATCCTCCTGCTTCACTGTGTTTATATATCACACTAACATAGCTGTGTCACTAGCGATCATGTAGCACATCATTATATACCAGCTATCCCAACTTCAGTAACCCTACAAAAAAAGTCACTGCTGTTTAGTTTTCTGTCTCTTTCAGAAATCCCTCAGTTAGATCATGGTATATCATGTTTAGGTGGAAACTAGTGAGCTAACTTCCTGCTAACTTCTAACTCCATGAACTTTAACAGTGGATGCCTGGATGTTAAACTTAATTCTTACACCTGGTAGAGCAGCTACACTGATCCAGCTGAAAGACGAAAGAATGAAATCAGTTTGTAACTCTCAGTGATGCGGCAGTGTTCATTTGACTTTGGGACCTGAAGCGGAGTTTGGACTGGTGTTCTGACAAACCATCCTATTTGGCAAACCGTCCTACCCGTAGAATAATTTTACGACGACGTCTGAAAAATCATCCTACTTTGGCAAACCGTCCTACCGATAGAATAATCATCCTACACGTCAAATTACCCGCTCCGAAGCAAAAAACCTTTGCTTATTTTAAACACTATTTAACTACAATACAAACAGGTAATACATACTCATTTTTTAATTTCAACTGTCATACTAAACCAGTAAAATCTGGAACACACTGCATTTAGTGTTTCGTGTATGCCAGCGTGTCCTCCAATTGGACATGAATAAAACTCATGAAAGATCCTCGTGGCATCGTCCTTGGTTTTTACTAGAGATGCCACTTTTTTATGTCCAATACTGATACCGATATCATAAGTTTGGATATCTGCCGATACCGATATGAATTCGATTTGGTGTGTTTTATAATCAATAAAACTGTTTTTTTTTTCATATATCTTGCTGCATTTTGTATAAGTTCATACTCAAGTTTTAAAAAACCAAACACTAAAGCTATTCTGTTATACCTTCATGCAAAAAATACTCTGCACCCAAAATATTTCATAGTTCAGGAATGCTGACCAATCTAATAAACTTAATGCTCTGATGATTCAGATGATTCAGATGATTCAGATGATCTTCATGTTTCCCTCGCACCAAACCATATCCAAACCAATATCATGGCCCAGCAGCTTGTACGGCTGTGGCTCCAGCAAACATCAGCTGATACTAGAAAGTAATATTAAATAAATTCTAGCAACAGCTTATCAAGCTTAAACGTGCTGCTGTTGTTCATTCACTGTTTTCGTCTTTCTGGTGGAAAGTGGGCGATAAAGAAACAAGAGAGACGGGACTTGCGACAGAAAAGCCGATAAGCTGATCATTGAACAGTTTCATGATTGAAGTAGCAACAGGAGAGGGAGTGGGGAGAGAAGAAGAGAAGAAGAGGCAGCTGTGCAGCGTATAAAGAATAACTTTATCTTTGTGTCTAAGGTCATGAGCTGGGTTACGCCATGTTGCAAGTTTTGTGAAAGTGCTTTTGATTGATTGATTGATTGATTGATTGATCATTGGGTTAAGGCTGCCAGCTGTGCCAGCGCCATCTTACCCTTCCGACCATACATACATTACACAAACATCACATGGGGAAGACAGGTCAGAGGGGTATAACATGGAAAATGCACAACATGAGGAAAGATAAGGAGAAAAAAATAACTCCCTCCAGACTGAGCTCCAACAGGGAGATCAGTTTGAGAACAGAAAAAAACACCTCTGCACATGAAAAAACTCTTAATACACCAAAGAAACACATGACAAGCAACAGGGATGGGTAAAGGGTGAGAGACAGCCAGTGTAGACAGTGCATCCGGGCCTGCAGCATTTTGTCATAGTTACATCACATTTTTTTATTTCTCCCCGATATCCGATCCAGTAATTTAGGTCAGGATCGGGCCGATACTGATACTGTATATTGGATCGGTCCATCCCTAGTTTTTACTAATCTTCTGGTTCCAGAAAAGAGTTGTCCATCTTCATCAAAAATATTTACAAATGAATTTAACTAAATATATGAGTTGTTAGTATTAACAATAAATTTCTGACCATTTAGTCTGAATTTTGAGACATATTGTCCGAGGTTTTGCCTCTGAGCCTTGTCATAGCCGGAAGGTTAGGAGTCAGCAGAAATGAACGAGTAAATCTCTTCCCATTTCTTCTCAATATGTAAATAGACATTTTCTTTTGAGCTTCAATATGTGCAGCAAACAATGCACATAACCTATTAAATAACCACATTACCTAAATAGACTTAACATACCATACAGATATTAACGAATTAGAATTTAATAGTCTTATCACTCAGCAAGAATGCACTGCAAACTTGCTAACTTTGACGGTAACATCAAATTTGTCCAAAAACTTGACAGCAGACTTAACCAAAGCCGCAAATTCGACAGTTTTGTGCAAAAAGCAGATAAGGATTTCACTTTAAAATGAACAAACACTCACAATGGCTTAGAAAATCAACTATCCACATCAATAAAGTGCTAATACTTACCTATTTTCCAAATATGAAAACGGAGTAGCGTTAAATCACAGCTGGTGTTCTGACAAATCATCCTACTTTGGCAAACCGTCCTACCAGTAGGATAATTTTACGCTGGCTTTTGACAAACTGCCCTACTTTGGCAAAACGTCCTACTGAAACAAAGTCTATTTATCAAAAGAGTTGAGATCATTTTCTTTTGTCTAAACTTGTTTTTTTTTGTTGCTAAAGCTCTGGCAGTTTCTAGTTGGGCATTGTAATGCTTTTTGTAAACATCTCCTGCCCCCATGTGGCCATTTTAATGAATCACATCACCAGTATGCCATGCTGTCTGTTCACAAAGAGGTACTGCACACTTCTCTTTAGTGTTTTCTCTGCACATGTGATTGAAATCTTTGGCCCAGCATAGCCAAAAGCCGAAGCTTTTCTTTACTGGACTGAATGGTGTCTGTGAATTGGAGCCTCTGGCTGTTTTTCGTGATTCAGAGTTGTGACAATGAATCAGTGGTTGGAACCTGCTGCCTTAGGCCATAGCATTGTAAACATGAACGCACAGAAAGAGGCGATACTCGGCAGGCGCACAATACCACATGCCAATCACAGCAGCATGTCTGCCGGAGTTTCTGGGATACACTGGTTGGTCACCACGGAAACCTTGTCTGCCTCCAGTTTAGCCTCTGAAGAAGGGTGCTGCTACGTCTGTGAGGTCCAAAGCATTATGCAACAGACGAACTGGCATGGAGTTAAATAATCCTCTCCTGGTTTGATGTCTTGCTTGGTAATCCTCTGATCCCCTCCTCAGGTCTATGAAGCACCTTAAAAAACATTTACACTCAGCAATCCTTTTTTTAACAGTTCCCCAAAGCCCCTGTAAACTGAAACAGTGACTCTTTGTTTATCTATCTGCAGGATTATGCAAAAACTACTAGGCCAGATTTCATGAAAATTAATGGAGAAGTGGAGAAAAAGAGGCAAAATAAGATCTAAAATATTGCATTTAAAGTTGCAGAATAAGCTCTTTAAGTGTTCCTTCTGTTTATTTTTTTTGTATTGCTTTTTATCCCCACTTTTGTTGTTTGCCTTGTGTAAAGCATTTTGTAACAATGTCTTGAAAAACTGCTATACATAAGGTATTATTCATAGGTCTTTATAGCAAGTGTGTAGGGCAAATGTTCCAAAACTGAATCCTATAAATTCCATTCCATCATTAATTCCATAAAAAAGCACTCTACACATTCAATTCAGCACCAAAGGACATGAAGAAAAGGTTAGCATTGGGTAATTACTTATAAATAAAATCTGGAAGGAATTGCATTCAGAAGATGAACCTGGTATCAAAATGATGATACAGAGGAGACATTTCATATGCCCTAACTTGCTTGGGCACCTTACTGATAAAATCCCATGAAAGTTTATCTAAAAAGCAGCGTAACTGGTTGAGCCACCACTGGCAACAAGAACTGCTACAAGGTGTTTTTGATAATTGTCAATGAGCCTTTCACATTGCTGTGGAGGAATTTTAGCCCTCACTTCTTTGTAGAATTAATTTAATTCCACTTTGAAGGGTTTGCAAGCTTAAAAAGCCTGTTTAAGGTCATCAAATCATGTTCGGCTACATAACCCAGGTGCGCTTGAGCTTTAGGCCACAAAGTGATAGCCAGACTTCGTCCTTCAGGATTTTCTGGTAGGGAGCACATTTAATGGTTCCATCAATTACAGCGAGTTGTCCAGGTCCTGAAGCAGCAATGGAGCACCAGATGATCACACCACCACCATGTTTGACTGTTGGTGTGATGTTCTTTTTTATGAAAAGCTGTGTTCGTTTTATTCCCGATGTAATGATGTGACTCAAACGTTCCAAAAAGTTTAACATTTGTTGCAGTGATTTTCTCCTTGGAACTCTCTCATGGATGCTGTTTTTGGCCATTGTTGTTGAGCAAGTCTTAGGATGTTATTCTGGGTTCTTTTATGACCTCCTTGATGAGTCGTCGATGCGCTCTTGGAGTAGCTTTGGTAGGGCAGCTGTTCGTGGGAAGGTTCGCCACAATTCCAAATGCTGTCCAAGTGTGGATAATGACCTATCGTGGCTTTGTAACAGTTTCCAGGCTGATGTCATTGACTTCTCAGCTGTTCCCGCATGTCTTTAGATTGTGGCATGATGTGTTGCTTTGTGGGTTCGTTTAACCTACTCCACTTTATCAGACATCATCTGTCTAAGTGATTTTTTGTTTCAACAGTTCTAGCTATAATCAGTTTTCCAAAAAAATATGATTGATCACAATTAATTAATGATTTAACAAGAGATGCAGTTCTTGTTTCACACGTTGCCAGGCAGGTTTAGTTAGCTTTCATCTTTAAAAAACATGAAATCGTCATTTAAATATTTCCATTTTTTATTTGCTCAGGTTATCTTTGTCTTATATTAAAATAAGTTCCATGATGAAACATGAAACATGTAATTGTGACAAAAACTGAGAAATCAGGAAGGGGTACAGCTGTTTTTTGCAGGACCGTGTGTGATAAGCCATTGTATTTATGAAATATTAAGATAACTCAAAAGACTTTCTTAATAGGAAGGTAGAATTTTGCCTTAATTAAATTTTTTAAACAAAAAAAAAAAAATCAACTAATTTTGAGGGATTTGATTGGAGCCACTATGGAGGCAGCCTTTAGTGATCCATCTAGACGCTAAAAAGCTATAATATTTTGTATCTTCACTATTTGAAGAGCCATTAGTTGAACCCAAACATAACTCCAAATGAATGAAACCTCTAACTCGGCAGCATCATTTCATCAGGTAAAAAGTGAGACTGTGTCAGTATTAGCTAAAAGGCTCGTCTGAATCAACATGAGCTCAATAATCATTTTAAGGTTTTTCATCTTTGCATATTTTATGTAACAGGAATTAACTTAGCGTGTTGACCTAAAAGGACAGACAAGCCTACTTTGCATTAAGCAAACAAACCATCGACCTATAGTTAATTAAAAGGCATGTTAGTTAATATAGGACTGATAACAGGTCACCTCTTTTTGTGGTGTAAACTGGCATTCTTTGTGTATTTCGCCAATGACTCTGAATAGGACAAAAAGTTTTCTCCCTATTTTTAACTTTGTATTCATCTTGATGTCATTGTTAGTATAAAAGTCACAGAGGGGCTACAAACAAAGTTTAGTAAGATGGCTTTTAGCTGACCTGCTACACAGCGCTGTAGTTTTACATCATCCAAACATGGTGATGGAAGCATTCCATATTTCCACTAGGTCAACACACAAATCAGCATGCTGACATACATTCACAGCAACGTTTCATTTAGGTCAGGACTGACAGGCCGTGCTCTAAAAACTAAGCTGTGTGTTGCAAAAAGAGCTGTTAGTTTTCTTGCTGCTTAAAATAACAAGAAGACTAAAAGCTAGTCATAGTATTCGTTTTAATGCTTTTTCATTGCAGTGATGCAAAGTGTTGAATTTCAAACGCAAATGCAGAGTAAAAATAACGTATTAAAGCACCAATCCCAGTTTTATTTGAATGAGATAAACAGCTTTCTACAATGTTGTTTAAAAAGAATCTAGTTGCAGTATCATGCTGATTCAATAAAAAAAATATTCTTATCTGTCTTAGTGGATTTAGCCAGTCTGATTAAATATTTCAGTCTTATCATAACTTCAATATCTGTGTTGGAAACATACTCTAAAACAAGGCTTTTTTATTTTTTCTTCTCTCCAGATTGTAATGCAGCTGGTGCGTCTGCTCCCTGATGGCCACAGGATGAAGCGGGAGGTGGACATGGCCCTGGACACTGTCAGCGAGACTATGACTCCCATGCACTACCATCTGAGAGAGATCATCATCTGCACTTACAGACAGGTACGCCACATTACTCTGTCCTAAAGACACGGGGCATCCATTTTTAGTGAAATAGATCCGAAACATTTTTCTTTCTCTTAGGAGGCTGAAACAAATCTGCAAAAATGTCGATTTGTGTGCTCTATTGATTGTCGGTGCAGTTTTGCACGTGGTCCCATAGATGGCAGCACAAACTAGTTTTTATAGCTTCACCTTAAACCCCGCAGAGATGAATGAGAAGGATCCACTGTGCAACTCGGTGAACTTCCTTTCAGGTCTTAATGGAATAGAGTGGGACCAGAAAAGGCAGGAAATGACAATATTATGAGCTCTTTATCTCTTGATGAAGAGTAATGGTCCACTTGGTGTAAGGTTGCATATCCTGTGGCTCTAATCTGCTTTCATTGCTACTTGCATTGAATGCCTTTCAAGAAAAAAAGATCCTTTAAAAACAAGAAATAAGGAGAAAAAAAAACAATATGAAAGGTGTTCCATGCAAAATATAAAGAAGACAGAAGCAGTTTGTAAAAGGGGTTTCAGGGTCTGTCCTCATGCTGTGCTTTAGCTATTTGTAATGCAGTCAAATCATGGTGCCTTTGTGCACTGTCAGCTGTTCCCTTCATGCTGGTTGCACTCAGTGCTGTCTCCACATTTTCAATGGGCCTCGTTGTCCGATGAAATCTGTCTTTCACGTGTATTCTCTGCCTGCTTGTCACTCTGTGGTGTCAGGCTCCACGGGAAAAAAAAAAGATTCCCTTCAGCTCACTTTATAATCGTTTGGATCAATGTAACTGTATATTTGGATTGAACTTAGTAAAAGTGCTCAATGTAATTTAATTTGCAGTTTAAATTTGTGAGGTAATAAAACTTGAGAATAAAAAAAAAAACAGGAATAAAAACAATGCGTTCGGCATGTTTGTTAGCTCTCACTTATAAACACAGTTGGTTTGAAAACTCTACATCATAACTGTAGCTGCTGATCATGTGGGCACACTGCTAAAAAGATCTCCCTCGGGGCAAAAAACTGCAGTCATATTTCAAACAAGGTCCTGTGTTAGCCAAACGTATTCAGAAGAAAAAACAACTGAACAAATGGCTGCATGATTTATAGCCCTGCATTGAATACTAATACATCCTGCAGAGTAGTGGGCAACGGAGTTTTTTGGAGCAGGTAAGGGTTTATTGAAATGAGCCAAAGAGAAAAGACTTCAAAACTAACTAAGTGATAGTCAGATCTACACAAAAGAGTAAAGAGCAACTGGTATTTGCATTTCATGCACACTACATACAATAATAGCCTTTTATGTTTTGTTATGCTTGGATTAGTGTACTGGTTTTAACTTTTCTGCAGGTAGTATCATACGGTATCATTGTCACAGGAGTAAATGATGGCCAGTCTGAAAAAAGAACCAGAATGTTGTTAATCAGATTTATCCTGTAGAGCTGCCACAGTGGACCTCAGATTGGCACTGTGTTCCTGTTCCAGCGTTTTTCCTTCTGCCTGAACCAGCAGGCCAGGTGATAAACAGTGCCAGATGTGGCTAGAACTGGCAGGCAGCAGCAGACTAAAGAGGGGGGAGAGAAGGGAGGGAGCCCCCATTCCCAAAACACACGCACACATACACTCTCTCTATCCTCACCTCCCCCTCTCTTAAAGCACCCTCCTCTCCTTTTGACAGTGGTTGGAAAATATGTCTTTGATAGAGAAAAACTATATTTACACTGGGACACAAACCATTCACCAGCTCACAGAGGGGCCTGGGAAGAGGGGTAAGGAAGGTGGGTGGAGGCTTTGGGGGGAGCAAAGGCTAAGGGGATGTCTCTTCTCAAAGGGCCTGCAAAACTGCTTCTGCTGACCAGACTTGACCCCAGGTTGCAGATGCATTCTGCAACATCAGGGTCAGCGCACTCCAGAAGTTTCCCCCTCACTTCCTCTGTCTTCTTCTTCTCTTCTTACTTATCTCGTCTCATCTCCTGCAGCCACTGTGGCCTTGATTTTTGTTGTCCAGCTTAGATTTTATTAGAAAATCACCTCCGGCAATTTGTGTACACTGGAGTACACTTCAGTGTTATTTGGATTTAGTGGGGCTTTTTTTTAACAATTTGTTTATCACTCAAGAATTATTAATTTATATAGTCAAGATATAATTTCTGTCCACCCTCCGGCTCTGTTTGTTTGTTTGCCTATTGTGGGCTGCATCGTGGTTATGCGCCTTATCTCCGAACCCCATTTCTGCCAACGGTTATATGTCTCAAGTTCATCAGTTAGCTCTTCAATGCCATGCTTTACCTTTCAGACCCAAGACTGCAGGTTGCATAACTTTGTCTGATTTATAGGTCCAAGCAGCTTAAAAGAGTGACTTCACAGAAAACGTTATCACCGAAGATCACTAAACTCCACCCACTCCATCGAGATGGTATTAAAGGGAAAGAGGAGTGAGTGGCAGAATTGGAGATTGTCCAAAAACCCAACCCCTAATCCATATTGATTTTTTTTCCCACACAGGTGGTGAGAAAACAGAGATGCACAGAACTAGACTGAATGAGTGGCAAATCAGGCTCCTTGTGTGTTCAAAGAAAGGCCCTCACGGTTTGGACGGGGCAATGGAAAAATATTTCTAGGGAGAGGAGATTGCTGTGAGGATTTTTTTTTTTGAGGTAAGGTAGTGAATGTCTTTAGGAAAGAAGAAGGGGGAGTAACTGGCTAAATACTCCAAATTCACAGAGGTTGAAGGGACCACCGCAGGCACTGACAGGAGGATTAATTTTTACTAAGAGCACAGGATTAGTAAGAAAGAAAGTGAAATAACTAGTGAGCTGAGGAATCCTGCTGTAAGGTTAAAGCAAAGATTCTTTGCTTTGGAGTTAATATTGTGCAAGTTTGAACTTCAACGTCAAGTTTGAACTTCAACGTCACCTGTCTCTTATACTCTTTTGGCTCAAGGGTACCACTTGACAAAAGTGGGGAGCCCACCAGAGTGAGATGCTTAAAGAACTGAGAAGAAGCTTCTATTTAGATCCAGCACGAGGTGGGAGGTCCGGAGGTTGTTTTTATTAATAACTTCCAGCCTGATTAATGACATATATTATTCAGCAGCAACTGTCCACAAAATTACAGATGTGGTGACCTTATTGTGCAGACACTTATTACACAGAGTTGAGATATAGCTGTGTAAATGTGTGGAGATACACACTGAGGGAAATAACGCATGTTTGGGGAGTTTCTGAAGTTGTTTGATGAGTTATGTGCGGCTGCTGTCCTTCACTTGCTATTTAGAAGCTGATTTATTTTTAAAGGATTTCCCGTGGTTGTAAATAACTGCGCATTACAATCGCTTATATGTTTAAAGTGTTTATTAAAGTCTAGCTAGCAGCTAGGCCTGCATTCATCACTGATTTTAATATAACCTCATATGTTACAGCCACTAGGGATTTATGCTTGTCATTTATAAACTGAAGAGAGTAGACTGATTTTCACGTATCCTTGCGAGTGGCAGCAAAGAGTTGGCTCATTGATGACTTTAATGATCTTCTTGTACGTGTCTCACTCCCTTTCAGCAGACTACACTCCCTTTGAATGATGATTCTGAGGTATTTATAGCCATACATACTATGGTGGGTAGAGTATATGCAGGTTTTTGTTCGCACCATGTGCCGTGCCAGGTGACTTCACTGATTAGTATAGAGGAAAAAGTAATGAGTACAATCACCTGCTGCAGTGCGTCATCGAGGGGAAAAAAAGCAAACAGATAAGTATTTCCAGTGAAGGATTCAGCCACCTGAATTATATTCTCAGATTTTTTATAGCTCTTATATTATTCTTATATAACTTTTGCGGCTTACTTGGATTTGTTCAAAGTTTAATTACATCTTTACTTTGTACTATACTGCCCTGCTGTGTTTTGTAGACCTCTTATTTGAATCCAAAGCCAGCAGGTTTTCCGGCATACTTGATTGTAAATGTTATTTGCAACCGGATAAGACTCTGTAATCACAGTTTCTGAACTGTGCACTTTCAGTTTTTTGCCATTTTGATAAGTTAGTCATAAAGCCTTCATATTCTTTCAACTGCCAGCATCTGACTATAGAGTCTGTCTAATGTCCTTTTAAAGCCACGAGAGCACATAGGAGCTAATTATAAAGAGGATGTACAGTGAGTTAGGATTATTTGTTCTACCTCTACTCATGCACCACCTTTATCTGAACCAAAACTTGTGCTGCTGGTAGTGACGGTGTTTCTGAGGCAGACTTACTCTTTCTTACTCATGAGAAGCATGAACTTGGAATAGTTTCCCAGATTCTCCCAACAGTGTCCAGAGTTCATGTGGGAAAACAGCTCATATGACCTCCCATTAGATCAGCCCATCTACCTGAAATGCAGTTCGCAAGGATTATTGAATTGCATTAGGCTGATATCAATTGTCTTGATAAATATCAAGTATTCAGCGCAATGAAAGCGCACTGTAATATGACCATAACGTTGAAACAAAGAGCTTCTTAAAAGAAAAACATTTGTGAAAGGATTTGTTGCCAGTCTTTGCATACACTTAAAGACACACAACCATTTACACTCACACCTGTAGCCAATTCAGAGTTACCAATTAACCTAACCCCACTAACTGCATGTTTTTGGACTGTGGGAGGAAGCCAGAGTACCTAGAGTTTTCTGGCCTGATGGTGGAATTAAACTCAGGACCTTCTTGCTATGAGATAACATTGCTAACCGCCACACCACTGTGCTGCCTTATATTAGATAACATTCCCTAAATTAACTACCACATTGGATATTACATCTATTAGGAGTAAACTGGCAGTATGTAAGATGATGCACAACATTATAGTGACTTTTTTTGTTTTTCCCACCTGTTGTTTGCATTTTGAAGTTCAATATTGTATCATTATTTTGTTCTCCGATCCCTGAGCAAAATATATATCTCTTTGTGTCGCCAGATGTTTTATATTTTTTCTCGTCAGCCACCTGTTTGCTTCAACTGCCATTTCACGCTGGGCAGGTAGTGTTA